TGTGTATTGGGACCAGCGCTGTTTAACATCTTTGTTGGTGACGTGGACAGTGGGATGGAGTGCACCCTCAGCAAGTTTGCCGATGACACCAAACTGTGTGGTGCGGTCAACGCACTGGAGGGAAGGGATGCCTTCCAGAGGAATCTTGAGAAGATTGAGAAGTGGGCCCGTGCAAACCTCATGAAGTTCAACAAGGCCAAGTGCAAGGTCCTGCACATGGGTCTGGGCAATCCCAAGCACAAATACAGGCTCGGTGGGGTGAATGGATTGAGGGCAGCCCTAAGGAGAAGGTCTTGGAGGTGTTGGTTGATGAGAAGCTCAACATGACCCAGCAATGTGCACTGGCAGCCCAGAAAGCCAACCGTATCCTGGGCTGCATCACAAGAAGCGTGACCATCAGATCGAGGGAGGGGATTCTCCCCCTCTACTCTGCTCTCATGAGACCCCCCTCGTGCCGTACTGCCTTCAGCTCTGGTGCCCCCAACACCAGAAGGGCAGACATCTGTTGGAGCGAGTCCAGAGGAGGCCACAAAGATGGCTGGAGCACCTCTCCTATGAAGACAGGCTGAGAGAGTTGGGGTTGTTCAGCCTGGGAAAGAGAAGGCTCTGGGGAGACCTTAGAGCACCCTTCTAGTACCTAAAAGGGGCCACAAGAAAGCTGGGGAGGGACTTTTTACAAGGGCATGTGGTGACAGGACAAGGGGCTTAAACTGGAAGAGGGTACATTTAGATTAGATATTAGGAAGAAATTCTTCATGGTGAGGGTGGTGAGGCACTGGAACAGGTTGCCTAGACAAGTCATCGATGCACCATCCCTGGAAGTGTTCAAGGCCAGGTTGGATGGGGCTTTGAGCAATCTGGTCTGGTGGAAGGTGTCTCTGCCCATGGCAAGGGGGTTGGTACTAGATGGTCTTTAAGGTCTCTTCCAAACAAACCATTCTATGATTTACACATTCTTTAACTTATTAGCGTATAACCTATGGTACCATGGGCTAGATTGGGAAATCTGTCATTGACAGATGCATCTGAAATCACAGTAAGCATAAAATGCTGTGAAAAGCACTGATTAAAAAAGTTGCCCTTCAGTGCTTCAAACTTAAAACCTAAAAATAATTTATCTTTAATACAGGGGCAATCAAGACCAAAAGAATATACACATAACAGCTGTATAGGTAAGTTTAGTAACACTTATGAAGCACTCAATATAGAATCATGATAAACATCACCAAAATTTACTGGTAAAACAACAGCGGTTTTGTTTGCTTGGCAGACTGGATTACCCATTATAAAGATAGTATAAAACCTAGACAGTGAGCAACAGAATATAGATTTCATTCAAATAACTCCGATATGCTTTCTGCAGTGAATGAGACAGAGGTGTAATACACAGGTCTAACCTGTTACTTAGCACCACTCTTCCTCTGCCTAATAAATGAAAGGTGTCTCAATCAAAGAAGTAATTTTTCATCAAAAAGAAGATACAGATGTTTAAATTATACAGTAAGAAGTATAATAGTATGTATACAAACAAACACAATAAAAGCCTATCACAAGCTACAGTAGAGTCTACTCTGCATTTGAACTTTTAGAATTATGTTGACTAGAAATGAGATAATTTGCTAATTATCCTTGGGTGTAACATATTAACTCACTCTTTTTCCCTTAAAAGAAATCACCTTTATCAAAATAATAACGCTCACCTCAGGGGAGCTGCACAGTCCCTTCCAATACCTGTAGAGTTACAGAAATACAACTTCCGTGGTGCATGCAAAGCCTGAATTGAGACAAATGGAATTCAGAGATGGAACTCCACAAAATATACTTGTTTTTAACAGCAAAAACACACAGAACAATACCTTTTGAGAAGTACCATATATAAAGATACATAAAAAGTTCCATTTGGGATCCCAAACTGGGTTTACTTTTATCCCAGGTGCAGATATTTACTTTCTTTCTTAAGGCCTTTATCACCTAAGTTGTCAAGCCCCTAGCTATTTTTTTTATCCCAAGACTGAGTTCTGCATTTAATATATTAACTTTTATGACATACTCCTCCATAAATGACACAACTTATTATACCTCAACACCACATTTGTCCAGCATTTGACAGGAAATTTTCTGACCATCAAAACTGCTTTCTCTACTTTATTTCTGTTGAGTATCCTTAATATTTTCAGGAGTAGGTTAAGATAGATAGATAGATAGATAGATATAAAAAAAGACAGAACAACTATATGTATTTTATCTCAGAATTTAACAGTAATTTTAATTTTAAATTATCTGTTTTTTAATCTCATCCAAGTGATGGGAAATGTTGAAATATTTCTGTGAAGTATTTAATTTGTAATAACAATAATATTTCAGTAAAGTATTTAAGTTGTCTATCCAGAATTTAAACTCTTTACAAAGCCTTATCCCATACTCAACAACAACATAAAATATTCACGTAGCAGCACACACACACAAGGCTTTTGTCCCAAAAGTGGGGAAAAGATGCCCAAGAGAGATGCCTCATTCATCACTCCAGAAACTAATGCACAGCTCGCACACAGAAACAAATGTTATGATAACTTTCATATACAAAGGCAAAGAGGAGTTCAAAGTTAGGCTGAGACTGTCTAATCCCACATTTTTCTTCAGATTACCCATCGCTAGGGAGCTGAGCCAACGACAGCAATAGACTGAGCAGTGGTGCAAAAGGGCGACTCGCAGCTTTTAACTACCATCTGGTTGAGTATGCTCAAAACAACGGAGACTGCCTGAAACCCTCTTTGTAACAGTGTTCCTAACTGCTTTACCACTTAGACTTTTGAATGGCGGGGGGGGGAGGGCGGGAGAGGAAAAAGTGAACAGACACAATAAAGAGACATAAACGGACTCTGCTTTAAGCAAGGGGGCTTGAGGAGCTTTATAACTCAGGAGACTGGAACTAAGTAAAAGGGAGCTTATGGGAGGGTGCTAGGAATGAAACATACACAGAGATGAAGGAAAACTAAACGAGAAAAGAAAAGTACAGCAATCTGAGAGAAGAGGATAAGACAGGGTGGTGAATAGTGAGAGTGGGAGCTGGCAAAGACAACTCAGTAGAGAGGACACTGGCGAGCGAGCTGAGGCAGGACAGAGAGAAGTGAAACTTGCTGCACTCGGAAGACAGCCAAGACACGGAAAGGAGGATGCCCGAGCAGGGTGTCACGGAGTTAGGCCTCGGGGTAGAGAAGAAACCGGGACATAAACCTGCAGGGAAGAAGGGAAAAGGCAGACAGGGCCAGAGAGGGTGGGGCAGAGCTGCCTGCCAGCGAGACTGAAGTGAACGGCAGGGATGTACTGGGGGAAGCTCCAGAGCGGGAAGCCAAGGGCGCCGCGGCTGCCCCACAGCAGGACCAGGTGCTGCTCGACTCGACAACCACCAGCCCCCTCGCCCCCTCACCGCGCCCAGTACCTCAAACATGAGCCCCAGCAGGAGGCCCATCACCAGGTAGGATGCGGTATCCGCATGGTTCTGAATGACGAACTCATGGCTTAGCACCTCCGGCCTCTTGTTTTTCCTGCGGAGCCCCATGGGGTGACAGGTCCCAAGCCTGAGCAGCCCCACCAAAAGTGATACCTCTCCTCAACAGCCGTCACCTCACGCACGGTGAACACCGCCGGCGAAAAGGCCCACCCCCTTCCGAGTTCCGGACAATCAAACTTAACAGTGCTTATGACTGGCAGTCCTGGTAACTAATCGTTAGGCGGTCTGGAAGCGCGGTTTCTAAGGCGGCGCTGCTTCGGAGGCAGTCGGGCACTTGCGGCGGGAGACGGAATCCGGTATGAGTGACGCGGACCTCTGCCAATCGCGTACGTGGGTGGGGCTTGCTCAGGAGGCCGCCACCGACCTTAGTGGGTGGGGTTTGGTTCGTGCTGGAGGCGGGCTGGGTGCTGAGGAGATTCCCGCCGGCAGAGGCTCTGTGGGGCGAGCGCCTTTGGTTCGGTTCGGTCGGGTCTCTGTGGAGGTTGTGCTTGCCGCAGCTCCAGGGGCGGCCAGGTAGCTCTGTTTATTCAAAGTCTACGAGGCAGGTTGGTCAGTTTGCTCCTCATGAGTGCCAGGATTGCGGCCTGCCTAGGTCGTAGAAGTGGGTCCTCATCATCCCCGGCTAGACTTGAGCCTGCTTCCTCACCTATGGCTACACAAAATGGGAAAAGCTGTTGAGAAACTCCCTTTTTTCCCATTAAAATGGAGAGAAAGGGGATTCAGAGTGCTTTGAAGTCCTAAAAATGTGAACGTTTTGCTATCTAGCTGGAATTCAGCGGGAAAACCATACCAATTCATCCAAAAAAAAAAAGTCGATGAAGGAAAGGGTGAAGGCTAGAGGGTGGAATGGTATCCCAGAGAACAAAGTTAAAAGAGAAACTAAAAATTAGGTCCCATCTGGTAACCAGGTGTCCGCTGCTGTGCTGAGTGTAGCCTCAGCTGATTCCAGTGAAGGGAGGATTTGCCTGGATCCAGTTGCCAAATAGGACCTAAAATTCAGTTCAGCTGTAAAGTAGTTTTGCTACCTGTTAGTTATTAAATATTTAATGCTCACTGAAACTATTTTTTAGTATGCCTGAATTTGCTTTCTGTTAAATGTTTTGCTTAGTTGTTGGGCTGGCTATACTTGCACTCCTTTTCCCACCTTTTGAGTTTCAGGCTAGTATATTCAGAATCAGGATTTTACATTTGAAACTAAGAATTGCTACAGAGCACAGGTGCTCTTTGGGACATTAATTCAGGAAGGAACTGCCATGCATGTTCTTTTTCTCAGCTGAAAAGAGGAATTTAAAATAAAACGCTTGTAGTAAGTTGTTTATAAATCATGGTGCTTTTTTTTATGAAAAAGAAACAATAAAATTGAAAGAATTTCATAATTGTTTAGCATAGTTGCTGCTTCTCTTTTCTTTTATAAAGCTACAAAAATAATCCTGACTGAGAGTAAGCTGTGATTCAAAAGCTTTGTTTCTTCCTGGAATGCATTAGAGAAAGAACAGTAACTTGCAATGTCATTTTGTAATCCAGAATATACTGATCTGATAGCATTTGTAGCATTCTTTTTGTATCATATCAGAGTGAGCAAACTAATTTAGATTTTTATTGGCTGGGAATACGGTTTTCTAGAAGATCCCTAGTGTAAGGCTTTAAGAATTGTTCTATATTTGTGTAGCTTCTACATTTGTAGCTCTGTAGATAATTTTACTTTCAGCATAAATTTCAGCTCTTATACTTGCTTAAGTCCCAAACAAATAACATTGAGTTTTTATTTTTAAATAAAGCTAAAGCAATTTAGGAGCAGATAACTGCTATGATTTGTTACTCATTTACATAGATGCATGCTTTCTTTAGGGCAAGGTATAATTTAATACTTTATTGAAATTAAAGGATCATAATTAATCTAGTAATTACTCTATCTTAGCAAAATTAATCTTGAGGCAGATCTGCTAGCGATAAGGCTTGAAGACTTAGACCATGAGATCCAATTAGATAATTAAATATGATAATTTATAGTAATGTTAAACCAGAGTTCAAGTGCATGCTTCAAGAGATATCCAGTCACTTCTGCTCTTCTACATATATTAGCTTAAATTTTTAGTATAGACATATGCTGTATGCTCAAGAGGAGATCACAGTTGTCTAAACTGATTATTTCAATTGACAAAAGGCTTGAACATGTTTTTGCAGTAAAATACTGTGTGTAGGAGACAAGGAAAAAAAAAAAAGGTGTGATGTTGCAGACTACGATGTTACTCTTTAGAACCCTGTGGTCAGGTTCTGTTTTTCCTCCTCTGGCAGTTGATGACAGCATCATGTTAAGGTAGTGAAGTGAGGTGTCCCCTTTTACTTACTATGTGTATAATATAATTTTTTGATAAATCTCTAGTGTGCTGAACTCTGTCTTTGGAAAGCAAGTAAACTCTATTTCTTAAAGCAGTGTACATTTGTATAAAGAGAGACCAGCGAAACCCCATACTTGTATTACTTATACTTAGTTTTCTCATGTATCTCTTCAGAATTTAGATTATCTGATGTTTGGAAACCGAGATAACTGAGATGGACCTACATAAGGACAACCCACTTATTTTTCTGTCCACCTACTTTCCCACCTGGTCTATAATTCTATGTCTGTGTTATTTAAGCTCTAAGTCCCAGGTTTAAAGATCCAAAGCGATTTTTTTTTTTTTTCCTCTTTGATTCCACAGTTTCTGTGTTATATGTGGGCCCATTTCACATACAGCCCACTGTGTCATTTCCATTGTCCAATCCTTTAAACAAATGAACTTAGCAAACATAGACATTCTTATTTTCATAGTTGCTTTTTCTTGTAAAAAAGTAAACAAAACAAAAAATATAGCCTCCAGTTAAGTGTTAAGTAAAGATTTCCACTTTTCTTTTGGTTTGTCATTGTATGTATTTCGTCAAGGAATTAAACAGAAAATTACAGAGTTATGTCCCACCAGCCACCTAGATTGAAAACAAATGCATAGGATTTAATTCTTAGTGTGCTATTAAGATTTGTTGATTTGCTCTTCTTCTATATAGAAAGCTAAATGAAATTAATGTATTTTGCAGAGTTGAAGAAATCAACCGGAGATCTGCTTGACCACACAGAAGTAGCTAAGAATGACTCCTTTATTTTATGCTTCAGTTAAACAAGACGAGCTAATTCAGAATTTGGGTAAATTCAGAGAAGAAAAAAAATCCACTCATTGTCATGGGGTAAGTAAACCCAGTTTAAAAATCACAAGGCAAATACATTCAAACTGGCTATATGATTTCCTTTTGTATATTAAAAGACCATCCAAGATTGGGACTATTTATTTAGTTATTATTATTATTTTATTGGGCATTCTATAAACACAGAATAGCATAGAGACGCTATCTGGCAGAATTTAGGATCAAGTAGACAAGATAGATTCACTGTGGGAAAGAACAATGCCCTGTAAGCAGCACAATGGCATCAAAAAACCACATTCTTTGTGTTCTTTTGGGACTTCGGGATGGGGGAGGAGAGATTACTTAGGAAAGGATAAGCTGGGAAAAACAGAAGAGGGACTTGTGTGCAGTAAAGCATTATAAAAGCCAGACTGGGGCAAACAGCCATTGGAACAATGGAGTGTCAGGCAAGCTTGCAGACAAATTTTGAACTGTCAGAGGTTTTCGCTTTCTATTCTGCTTGACTTACAAGTTAGAATCTATAGGTGATTCCTCTCTACAGTCTTCAGCTACAGTCACATGGCAACAGTAAAGGAAGTATCATCTGGGTGTGACTAAAGTGAGAATGATCTTCCTTGATTTGTTCTGGGCCCAGGAATACTTGAGGGTGAGGGGCTGAGGTGTTTGAGCCTGTTTTGCTGTCTGTCTGTTCTTAAGATACAGGTTTTATAAGGCAAAGGACAAAAAGATTGGGATATTCAGTGTATGCGTTTGTAAAATATTCTCTTTATGCTAAGTATTTTGCCTGTGCAGAATCTTCCTAAAGCTAATTGAATTACAGTTTATAGGGCATAAAGGGTTCTGCTTTAATTTGAGGATAATGACAGATACAAAATAAAACAAAGTGCAAGATACGTAGATATTTTCACTATTCTCTACTTAAAAGCAAAACCTAAACACAACAGATTAAACAACTGGCATTTAATGACAAGCAAAACAAGATCCAGTAGTAAGAAAATATATACTTAAAAAAAAAAACCACCACAAAACAAAACAAAAAACAACCCTTACCCAACAACATCTAGTTAAACAACAGTAACTGAGATTAAAATTACAAAAGCCTATTAATCATTGCCTGTTTGGGAACACAGGAATTATCAGATGAGCTAAGAAGGGAGTTTTTCTGTCACACTGTAATTTTTCGTACCAAGAAATAGTTTTGGGCTTTCCTCTAAAGTATATGGTCTAGTCATTTTTGCAGACAGGACTCTAGATGAATGATTGATATGTTTCTGTATGGTATTTCTTGCTTCTCTTTTCTCTTCATAAACCACTACAAAGCAGCTTCTGCCTTGTAAAAATTAAAACTCAGCATTTAGTCTTTGTGTAAAAGTGTTCCCAGTTTTACAAAAATGGAACTGCGCAAAAAGGGCATAACGTTTGTAACGTCAAATGTAAAATAGTGAATTCTGAAGATTCTGTGCTACAGTTTGAGAACAATCTGCTGATTTCTTGACATTCTGTTATCTCTGAAAAAAAGAAAACCATGTTAAGAAAGTACATGGTAGGTCATATAATTGCGACAGGGGAAGTGAAGCAAGTGTGGATTTGTGCTTCTGCCTTGTAATTAAAATTCTCAATGGGAAACATACATCAAAAACACTTTTAAAATTAAACAGCAGTTGAAGTCATTTTACTGTAATAAGTAATTGAATGATAATGGTAGAGCCTTAAGAAAGGCAGGAAAGGAACAGGTACTAGATTATAGGTAGCAGGTAAGAGTGAAAAGCTGTCTTGCTATTCTGTGAAAAACGAAAGTAGAAATCCAATTCAATGTCTGCATCTGGTAATCAATTACTGGCTGTTATGTAATGATGTGAAATTTCTGTGGT